ACTATGCTTGCTGTGTATCAATGAACTCAATGGTCTTTGAAAATCAAATTTATATTCTCAACCGATTTTTAAATTAAGGTTATGATTAATTCAAACAAAAAGAAAGAAAATATTTGTGACATTTTAAAAAACAAAAGTTATTCCTTAATTTGAAATGAATTAACCTCTATGGAAAAAAATTGTAAGGTAACTATGGGAAAAACTTTGATAAAATATCCTGAACTTATTATAGCATTGAAATCAACAAGCCAAATATAACAGAAAATACAAAAACTCTTACTTTAGGAAGTGCTATTTAATCATAACAGCAAAGATCTTCAATCTTTTCTTAATTAGATATTTCAACAAAGAGCATAAATACAGGTTTTTTCTAAAAGTTTTAAACTTGAAAATAAAGCTAACACCTTAGATAGTCAAATTAGCCAGTATTAGTTACAACTAACAATACTCAACAATTCTGCAAATATGAAAAAATCCAGTACAAAATTTGTTTTGGGGGAGTATTTATTACTAGTTTCCTATTCCAATTCCTTTTCCATTAATAAACCAGTAACCATTCTTACCTGTGACTCTGACTTGTGTGGGACTGAGTGAAAGCCTTTTGTTTCTGCTTGTTGTGTAACTGTTGCTAGATCACCCTCTGGATCACAGTTAAATGATGGGCTACTGCTATTAAAATATATGTTGACTTGTCTTAGAAAGAAATTTTTCTAAAAAACTTGAGGTTTTAAAGATTATACCAGAGCAAAGCATGAAACACTTAACCCTGTGACTACCAGCCACTTATATTGTTCTTATGTAATGTAGCTTTTGTCATATTTCATTCCCCCCAAAAAAATTAGTGAATGACGTTGTTAGAAATTTGACAAGAACTTTCCTAAAAGTATGTAGTTTCAGAAAAATATTTAATTTTGATTTTTTCTACTATTCAACTAAAAATTCGTTATTTAATGTAGTTATTTGCACTCAGACTCTGAATAGTTCAGCTGCAAGGTGATTTTCATGTCAAGTATAAAAATATTATTTTTTTATCCTACAGTTTTTACATTTCACTTGCATAATTTCTAGAACATATTAAAGGAATATCAAGCATTTTTTTAAGGTATAAATTTCTATTTTATTTTCCATTTTCTCTACAATATCACTAATTCTCGCTACCATCATCAATGTACAGTGCAATGAAATGTTTAAAATTAAGAACTTTAAATATATACATACCTTTTATTTCTTTGTTGAATGATCTTAAAATATCATCTTTGGGTCATATGCGTTATTTCACATCTTTACCTTTTCACTTATAATTTATATTTAACATTTAGTTTCCTTTCCAATTTTTATCTTTTATTATTTATATCAACACACTTCAACAGGTGCCCTCGGGCAGTATAATGTTATCCTTGGTAGAGACAGTTTAGCCTCTGGCAAAATGATTTGATCTTAATTAGTTAAGACAGTTGTGGAGTGACATGAAGCATAAATATATTGAGAAAATCATTAAACCTTTCAAATATGAATTTTAAAACACAAATAATACATAATTAACTTTTTCTGCATGGGCATCCTTTACTGTGCATGTCACAAGGTTTTAGTGACTTATGTTCAAAATGTACCTGAACTAATTTTTGTTTATGTTATACCAATTAGTATAGCATAAATTCATAGTTAATGATCCATATTTTAATCGTATACAAGTTTTAAGTTCTTAATTTTATATGTCAATGTTAAACAAAATCCTGAATTTCCCTTAGTGTGAAAAATGTGACATTTTCTCTAGGCAACCCCTCTTTATTTTATTCACCAACCCTCCAATAACTATGAAATTTAATGAAATTACAATTTATAAAATTGGCAATTTATAAAATTTATAACAATTTATAAAATTGTTCACACAAACCATAATTTTTAAGGACTTCGATCTTGTTTAGTTACATCAAATAGAAAGTCAGACACCTCTTGCTACACCCACCTGTCACATCCTCTCTTTCAGGATTAGTTAATAGTTCTCTCTTACTCTTAATACTATATTATTTATAACCAATAGAAAGCCAAGGTTTTCATCTATCAAATGGCATATTATACTACATTGTTTTTTGAATAGG